CATATCAAAAGCCATCACGTGAGATCTTTTTCTTATGAAAAAAGACTTAGAAAAAAAATCACAATTTTTCATATTCCCGAACTGCCTTTCATCAAAAGAACAATTTCATTGGTGTTCTTCCCCTCATGAGATGGGATTCCCAACAATCTGCCCCTCCAATTCCAAGAGGGAGGTTCCCCTTCACAGATCAACCAGGTGCTCAAAAAAGACACTCATGCCAGCCATGCTTCTTCATGACTTTTGTTTTTCTTTAGCCAAGGTCTTCGTCATCATATTCGACATGCTCCTGTCGATATGGATTTTCTCTAGTTGCAACAGTTTCTCACCATTCTACAGCCTGGACTGTCATACAACAACTCCTATTGTAAAAGTAATCGAGTATTCAGAGATTGACTTCCTAGAGTCTATTCTTCTAAAATGTCTTCATCTATGTACCCATGTAATATAGGTTTTCTCCCCCAAAGCACAAATACATTTTGGATGCTCATCTGATATACTTGAATTAATTGTTGTCTAGTGTTCTTGCCAAGATTAGCAATACTTGAATATGCTCACGGTGTTACTGTTAATCCATTGTCACTGACGGTTAAGTGATTCATTATTGGTCAAAGTGGTGACTGACAGTCTATTGGTTAATATCTTCTTTGCACAGTGGCAATTCACTGATTGTCAAGGTGAAAACTAATGGTCCATTAGTCAATGTCTTCTTTGCACATGGTGATTCACTAATGGTCAAGGTAATGACTAATGGTATGTCGATCAAGACTTTCTTTGCACAGCGGACACTCACCAACAATCTCTAACTAAGCTCACCATGCATCTGCTACTTGTACTTCCTACGGCTGACCCATAGGGAACTTTCTGTGTTTCTTCCTTCTTCCTCTTGGTTGAAGGGATCTCCTGACACTCAACTCGTGTCATCTTGCCTTTCAACAACTTTACCAATATATAGGTGTGATATATCTCATCTTACATAGCTTTAACCCATATCCCTTTGTGTTTGTCGGCCTGACTTCCTGGGAAGATTTTCACCCTTGCGAAATAACTAGTAGAGGGTTTATGTCTCCTAGACCTCAGGTGGCACTTCTTGAATAGGCTTTTCCTTATGCTCCTCATCACCCTGAACTGATATGTCATCTCTTTGGACCCATCATCTTGTTTCACTTCTCCCCCATTTTCAATTACCACAGTGGAAGAACTATAACTGATTCTGAACCATTGAAGATTCCTGGATGTGTTGCCTTCATCACGTCTTCAATAGTAAGGTCTTTCTGAAAGACCTCCCATACCGTTGATCACCTTCCTGTACTCAGGATCCCACAGCCTATGCTGAACTTTTCATATGAGTACCTTTAGAAGATGCATAGGAGTCATTTTTTTTTCAAACTTGGATCTTTGTTTTTTGGCACGTGCACCAATGCCCCAAACACCATCAAGTGTGAATAAGAGACATCGTTTATGATCCAACCTCTCTCTTGGATCTGACCATCCAGAAAAAACAACTGGGGATCAATTTAAGTAGCATGTTGTGAGGACTGCTTCACCCCAATACACCTAAGTGGTGGATAGCATGCTCCTAACTTTGAGACACTTTAGCAGCTCGCATCTCTCTTTCTACCTTACGTGGAAATTCTGAAAGATCTCAAACATTTGATCTTTCGATTTCACCCATACCAATCATGAAGCATCATGGATGAAGGTGACGAGGTATGATGTGCCACCAAATGACTCCGATGCTCTGATATCTGCAACTCAATTCGAGTTGCATGATGCAATTTTAATGCATCCTCATACAGTTTCCAACCACAACAACATTTGTAGTCACTGCAGTGGTTTGCCTGCCATCACCCATGGCGTTATCTTCATACCCTTCATTCTTGAACTTTTGGCAATCTTTCTAGATGTGCCCTTCCTTGCCACAATGAAAACATTTGATCCCCCATTTCGTCTTCGATTGGTTTTAGTCCTCATTCTTGGACCTTCCTCGATTTGTGACAAGGGCTTTACAAGTCCGATATGTTGGAGGCTTTTCTTCTCACCTCCTCATTTAGTAGGCTACTAGTGACTTGACTCATGGTCATTATCACAGCTAGTACTGAGTTGCTCACAGAGATTACCAATGTCTCCTAACTATCTGACAATGAATCGAGCAAAAATAAAGCATGTAGCTCATTTTTTAGGAACAACTTCATCGTTGCGAGTTAATTAGCAATGCTTTGCACCTCATTCAGGTGCTCTGCAACAGATTCCCTGTCCCTAAACTTCATGTTCACTAACTTCTAGATCAAGAACGCCTTATTTCCTGCGGCAAGTCATGTAGCTTAACCCGCAATAACTTCGAGGATATCTCCATTGACACATGATGGAACACATTTTCTTCCAACAACAGTCAGGTAGTTCCGAGAACCTTTTGGTATAGTCTCCTCCACTCATCATCTGTCATACTTTCGGGCTTGTATTATACCCTTTCAATAGGTGTGTACAAGTCCCAACAGTATAGTAGATCTTTCATCTTTGGCTTTCAGATAATCCAGTTATTACCATTGAGCGATATCTTTCTGCTCTTGGTAATGGAATCCATTTATCTACACACACTGTCTATCCCCCGTGTGTTGTGGTTACTATCGCCTGATCGTTTTGATAACTGCCCACTGATTGTGAAATGCCCACCGATTGTGAAATACCCACTGATCGTGAACTCCTGCCTGATTGTCCCGATCGTGAACTCACGCCCGATCGTTGTGCCATCTAATCATTACTGCCTCCTAATCGTTGTGACGTTTGATCGTTACTGCCGCCCCAGGGATTTGTGTTCTTCCTTACTCGTCCTACGGCTATTAGGTTCGCTATATCGTAAAACGATGACACAAAGGTCCAAACAGTTAGGGAAAACACAATCTGATACCACTTGTTGCGTTCACCCACTAGAGCTCTCTCGCACAAATGCGGATGCGTGCAGTAGAAACCAAGAAATAGGAGAAACACATTTATGTCAAAGTCGATGTGTGTGTATGAGTGGGAAAATATGCAATAAAGTATATAAAGAAATAAATCTTACTGGTACCAGATTTACGTAGTTTATTTTTTTCGGCTACGTCTACGGGAGAAAGAGACGAATCAACTATTAAACTTACAAGTTACAATAGTCTTCCATGAAACAATCTTTCTTGGGATCACCAATTATTTAGAAACTTCTCTCTAGGATTTCCCTCTCTGATATCATAAACTTCTTTTCATTTTAGAGGCTTTCTCTCTCTAAAACAAATAGTTCTTTCTTTCTCTCTTTTTCTTCCACTCTCCCTCTTTTCTCTCACAACAAAGAAAAGGCTAAAGAAGATGATTACTAGCTCTTTTTCATCTTCTTCTTATCTCTAAGAAGAAGTATAATTCTCTCTTCTTCTTCTCTCTACAAATAAGGATAACTTTGTCTTCTTTTTCTCTCTAAGATAATGATAACCTTATCTCTTTTTTTTTTCTTCTTCTCTGCAAAAGAAGGCTTCATGTTCTCTGATACAACAAGAAACGTCCACCCAAAAAATGGCCCAATAGAGATGCACACCCAAAATGGCCCAAGAGAGATGGATTTGATCAAAACAACCAAAAGCACCCAAAGCCGCTACGTGATTTCTATTTATATGGACTCAAGGGGATAACAATCATATTTAGAAGTATATCTATAACCTCCAGGTCCATCTCTATCTCCTTTTATGGAAAGGGATAAGAGAAATATCTTTTTATATCAAAAGCCATCATGAAATCATTTCTTTTATGGAAAAAATACTTAGTTAACAAGTCACCATTTTCCATATTTCCCAAATGTCCTTCATCAAAAGAACAATTCGATTAGTGTCCTTCCATCATGGGTTAGGATTCTCAACATTTACAACAAAACATTTAGGAGCAAATGACGTACGGACACTTTTGGAGGAGATCAATTATCAAATGGGGTGTCATTTGCCAGAAATTACGAGCAACCCCCCCCCCCCCCCCCCCCCCCACCCGTGGCATTTTTTTTCCATAAGTTGCCCCTGGTCTGACAGTGCAAACACTAAACAAGATTTTTTTTCCTAAGTTGTTCCAATGTTGCCCAGCATTCTCATTGCTCTCATTTGTAATTTAAAAAAAAAATCAAATTTTCCAAACCACTGTAATGGATATGATGAACCTAATATAATCAGCTCCTGAAGAGGGTTCTTCTAACGTTTGGGATAACAAGATGCTTGAAGAGAGAGAAGATTTTGATGTCCTTCTAAGCTCCAATGATGAAGCAGATGAAGATGAAGATGAAGTGACTTCTGGTGATGAAGAAGTCGAAAATGAAGTGACTAGTAGTCATTCACTACTCAAAAATTTGGAAAAAAAAATGACTAGCGGTCATCCACTAGAGAGCAGTGGGCACCTAAAATTTGGTGTCAAAATATTTTGTGAAAATATTTTTAAAAACAAAAATTATAGAAGCAAACATTGTGTTTGGGACTATATCAACTGTCCATTCAGATTGGATGTCTAGAAAGAGGAATGAAGTATATAACTTCTATACAGTAGTGAAATATAAGTTTTTTTCTCTTGAGCGCATACAAAGTTCTAGTCAATGTTCTAAAGGGTTCTGATCGAGCTCAAAACGATTGGGTACTAATCTGGGTATAGGACCCCCAATTTCTATTGGTTTTCACTTGCTCTTTCTATCTCTTTTATTTATTTATTTAGTTATTTTTTCAATAGAGGAAACCTCCTAAAAACAAGTGAGCCGGCTCCGGAAGTTCCAAACCAGCTCATAATTGATGGGTGTCATGTTGGACCCACTATTCCAGCTTCTGGAACAGTGGTTATAGTTTAATTTCATAGGATAAGGTGCACAAAAGTTCACAAAGTTGAGAAGACTTGAGCTGGTATACATGTTGCTTGGCAGCTTACTAAGCTAATAATCAACAAAATATAAATAAAATGAAAAGTGTAATTTAATCAAGAAATATAACATGAATGACATGGTTTTTTGGTAGGATTTGTTGATCCACTGAAGTTCTGTTGTGGATTTGGGAAGGACGGCTACAATGCTTGGTGTGGAACGTCAACATATGTGAATGGGAGTACGGTTTATGATGTATGTGATAAGGCATCAATGTATGTGAGTTGGGATGGGACTCACTACTCCGAAGCCGCAAACCGTTGGATAGCAAACGACATCTTCAACGGCCAATTATCAGAACCTCCACTTCCATTGATTCAAGCTTGCCAACGGTCTCCATAAAACCCGAACTTCGCCATTGTTGGGGTTTTAAAGGTTTTGAAGGGTACATTTGTGTTTGCCCTTAACGACTCTATACCCACCTTAAATAAGAAATGTTATAATATCGGGAGGCCCATGTGTTGGCAGATTATCTTGTTAAGGGTGGTGCTTTTTTAAAGAGATTTTTGTCTCTGATTTTGTAATTTCCTTCTAAATACTTTTTAATAATATTGCTGAATTTCTATCAAAAAAATAAGAAATGTTATAATATCAAGAGCAATTGTTTCATGAGGGGTTGGACCATTTCTACAATATCAGGTCCAGAGGTATAAAGCATCGTGCAGGCTTTCTATGCTTCCCCTACTACATAAAACTTATATGCTTCCCCTTGTGCAACTGTCCATTCTGAATGGAGGGCTAAGAGTGCCCCAATCATAATGTCATCTCTCTCTCTCTCTCTCTCTCTCTCTCATTGGGGAGGATAAGTAGCAGCAGTAGCTATAGTTGTTGTAATGCTACAGCTTTGGGTTCACCAATGGTGCGCGCTTCAGCCACAATGCCAACATAGGGGAGAAACTGATTTGGGTTTGTTTTTACAAAGGAGATATGTCCGGCAATGAGAATGCCAGGCAGCATTGGAACGAGTTAGAAAAAAAAAAGAACCCATATCTAGTGTTTGCATTGCTGGATAGGGGGGCAACTTAGAAAAAAAAAAAAAAATGCCATAAGAGGGGAGGGGGGAATGCTCGTAATTTCGGGAAATGATACCACATTTAGTAATTAACTCCCTCCAAGAGTATTCATACATAATTTGCTCAAAATTCTGCCAGTTATCTTTTAATTAAAGGGTGTGATTTGTAGAAGTTTGCAACCTTAAACAATCAAATTAAGGCGCACCTCTAAATTTTATTATAAACTATGATTTTAGTATGAAAAATTATTAGGATGGCTTGAGAATCAAATTTTCATCTTTAATTATAAAATCTTAAACTCCAAAAATGGTTCAAAATAGATCTATAAACACTTGAAAATCTTGAAAATAGATGGTCCGTATAATGTGTTGCAATATATATTATTTTAGGGTCTCAAAATCTTTTTTTCTTTTCATATTCATACATCTCAATGTCGAGATGATCTATTTTTGTTTTTATATTCATACATCTCGATGTCGAAATAATTTATTAAAAAATTTCTAACATTAAAACAACAATTTATAATGGATTTTTTAGGTACACCTTAATTCTACATTTTAAAATTGCAACTTTATATAAACTTTTTCCTTAACTAAATCTCTTAACTAAATCTCTTATTCAATGGCATGGGTAAATACTACATACTAAACCTCCCTTACAGATTAAGAGATGGACCCACCATAGATTGCAACCTTAACAACCATCAATTTTCACCATTTGCCAAAGAAAAGCAACACCTACCAGTAGAATTCTTTAATCCAAGTCGCCTAAAAAATATGTATTACCGTAACTAGAAAGTGTTAAATTAAACATAATAGGACATTACCAACATTAACAAGTTCCCCCTTCAAATTATGAAGAGGACCGTTATTATTGGGCATGAAACTATTCAACACTCCAATTCTTGTGTTATATCGAGTCTGGTGCTGATCATGGCAAACAAGAGGCTCCTTATTGTTGATCAATGGCATTTGGGACTTCTGTATCCTCTCCACTTTGGTGTTAGAATATTGTTTTGTTTATTTAATTTGGCAACAACCGTCTTATTAACTTATGATAATAACATAATAAGTATACCATGACTATAACATCGAAAGTGAGACAAACAATCCCCTTCACGTCAACTGAATTTCAAGCTCAACATAAAGGAATCAAATCATTCGTGCCAAGACCTTGTCATATACTTTAACCAGTGCAACAATCTCTTAGCCTCTAGATCAAGTTTCCATCTCCATCTATAATAAAGCCCTGAGGTTGTGTCCTAAAATGTTCTTTTAAGTCAGCATGTAAGGGAGCATTTTTCACATCGAATTGATTCATGCTTAAATAAAAGTAAGTGAATGAATGTCGTTAGCATTTTAAATCAAATGCATAGCTCTATAGGCCCAAATGTTATCCAAGTCTAGATTTTCTAAAGCATTGGTGGAGGCAACAGACTGGGCTTGAGCCAGGGCCAGCCCTACCCCTTCTCCATATAAGAGCCAAGCACATATATAGGAGTCACCTCTGGTACCAAGACAAATTAGAAGAACACTCAAATGAAAAGAAACAAAAGGACATTTCAAACAATAATGTTTCATTCTTACCTAAAATTCCTAGACCATAAACGCGTAAATCATCTATTGAACTTCACCGGCTCCAGACAAAATGGATGAAGATAATTAGCACATGCAGACTTTAACTGTTTAGGTCTTAGGGCCAGGAAATTAATGCATGCAAGAAGCCTAGGGTCGTGTACTCTCTCTTTCCCTCTCTCAAATCCTTTTCTATATTTTATTTATTTGTTTTTATTTATGAGGTAGGTTTTGGTGATCCCTTGAAATTTTTTGTGGATATGCTGGGGACTACACTGTTGGATGTGCAAGCAAGGCAATTGTGAATGGGACTGAGGTCTATGGCAGCTCATGTGTGAACCCTTCTATGTATGTGAATTGTGATGGGGTCCATTACTTTCATGCTGCAAAGTGCAAACCATTGGATAGCAAATCATATAGACAATGGCCATCTGTCTGATCCCCCCCTTCCCCTTGCCCAAGCTTGCAAAAGGGCTGTTCCTTGAAACCAAACTAAATTTGGGTGAGGAGAGCTTCATTTGCTTTTGCTTCCATAACTCTCTGACTGAGTCTAGTGTTGGGACGTGATGCCAAATCACAACTTCATGGTACTTTCATTATCATAAAGGTTATTTTAGGCATAATGAAAAGGTTCTTTCTTAATAGCTCCTTAAGTTGGGTGAGAAGAAGAGAGAGAAAAAGTGAAAAAAGTAGAGAGATGGTTGGGGAGAAAATTTGACGGTTTTTGCTACAAAATCTTAGTGCCATTATTTGAGTTCAAGATGAGCTATTTTGTCTGTATTTTTTTGTGGTATCGGTGAATCGAACAAATGAGTCGATTGTAAGTAGTTTTGTGGTAGGACATACTTTTATTTGAACTTTCTTTGAGATTGTATGAGGTAACTCTACATAACCCCAATCTTGTTAGTTTTTCGCTTGATAGTGAATACACATTCGTCATTTTGCCCGCAGACGTAACTCATCTAGGGTGAACCACATATATGTGCGTGTCCCTATCTACTTTCATTTGTGAAAGAGGATCGGTATCCATGAGTAATAATTCCACTAGCAAGGTGGTTAGAATGGGTTCGACTCGCCTACTGATATTTGATGGGACTATTCAGATAATTAAGGATGTTAAGCATATGCCGGAACAAAAAAAAAGCTTGATTTCCCTCTCTTCTCTAAATTCGAAAGGTTATAAATTCACCGTTCAAGGCGGAGTAATCAAAGTATCAAAAAGGGGGCTCTAATTGTGATGAAATGTATTCTAGTTAAGAACTTGTACAAGTTATTGGGAAGCACAATAATAAATGATGAAGTAAATTCCGTGATCAAAGATGAAAAAGTCCTATTTCGCCTATGATATAGAATATTGGGGCATATGAGTGATAAAGGTATGGAGGTCTTGCTGAAGATGAATTTTATTCCTACACTTAAAATTGATGGATTCGAATTTTGTGAACATTATGTCTATAAGAAACAACATAGACAACCTTTCAAGGCCGGAAAAATCCAGAAACTTTGATGTTTGAAACTTTTTGTGAAGATCTGGAAACGATTCTCTCATCTTGGGACACCAAGATTGTGGTCCTAGAACTATGGTGGTAACCCCCACATCTCAGAGTCCAACAAACTCAAATGGGTTCGAATCCAACTGACCCACCAGTGGAGCTCACTCAGTCCCTTCAAGTAGGAATGTGAAGCTCTATGAAAGCGGAAGAAATGCCACGTACCAGTCCGACTCTTCGGAGAGTACTGTTATTAACTATCTTAGCAACTTTCATGAATATGAAAGTTGAGCACAAGGAGGGGTTATGGAGAAGGCCAGTCAGAGGTTACGGAATAAGTTACAAGAGATAAGTGACTCTGATAATGAAGGGACAAAGCAGAGTCTTAAGTCTATGCATTAAGAGGGATAAAATACCCACATGAGAAGGAATAAGAAGAAAAAAATGGCAAGTTCAAACCATGTTCTCTTTGCTTTGCTATGTAATCTTCTTTTGCTTGTAAACTCTAGAAAATAAAAGGTTTTCTCTTCTGAAATAAAATTAGTAGAGCATGATAATCCATGAGGATGAGGATGTATCATGGAGTATCCCCACTATTAAATCCCAAGAGTAATATCTTGGTTTAAGGGTGTTCCGAAATTCCTTTTGTAGCAAATTCAAAGAATTAGAAACAACTCATAAAGATGTTTTCACTTTCTTTGAAGCATTAAACACCCCCGACACAGAATATTTCGAAATGGAATTTATCCTGATGAGTATACCCTCAGGGTACAACCAGTTTCAGCATTTCACTTTTAAGTTACTGAATTGCACTCTTAATAACTTTTCTGAAACCACAACTCAATTAATGATTTGCTTTCCAATTGGTAAAAAATAAACTATAAAATTATAATTTTCTATTGTTTCAGAAAAATAAATTCTGAAAAATTCTTCTTGTAAAACTAAGAAATAAACATGAAGTTATCTCAAATTGCTCTTCGAGAGTAGAAGTATTCTCAAGGTGATTAACCTTATGTTCTTCAATATTCTCTTCTGAGAGAGAGAATTTTTACATACCTTCTATACTCAAACTTTCTTTCATATATTCTCTATTTTTTAAGGAAGAAACCACCGGTATTTACAAGGGAAAAAATTGATAATATGTGTAAAAATTATTTTACTTACATTGTCCTACATTACAGCTATAAATGCTATGAAGCTTGCAAGATTGTATACAATGAGACCATTTATCTTTAGCAAAGAGAGATCGCAATTACTTACAACCATCTTTCGT